ACCTTTGGATGCGTTCGGCAGCATTTGCACCTGAATCGGTAAAATAACCGAAGCGGGAAATTACATAACTCCATGAATAACTTCTGGTTGACAGAAACAGGTGGCATTAGCCTCCAGTGCGAGCCTTAATCATTTACTCATAAATCAGTGAATTTAAGGCAAACAGCGTACTAAATAAAAAACTGAACTAAATGCCCGAATTTCAGGCTTCACAATTTCATTCAACAGTCCGAAACAGCGACTACCTTCTCGATCGACCAACTGGCCAAAAATCCCAGGGAAGCTGGATAATGACCAGGGGCAAATGCCTCAACACTAAAAACTCAAGCACTGGTACAGGATCGGGAAAGTTAGATAGATGTTTGACAAGTGTGCACCAGCCACCCGAAAGGGGACAAGCGGTGAACGAAGCTTATAGACTCACTGAGCAACGAACCAAAACCGTTTTTGCACATTTTCTAAATTAGCAAATCAGTGTAATTTAGTTAAATACATAATCAGAGACTGACACACTGAAAAGTGCTCATTCGAGAAATCCAAACTTAAACGCATGATCCGAAAATATTTTCTGAGTTACCATCAACAAGCAGACCTGTATAAATCTTTTACGGTAAGGCAGATATGAACGGAAGAATAACTGAAGCAATACTTCAATAATTTTATCCTTTTTCTTTTCCTCATTTTTCCTGCTGGGCTGATTCGACAACGACTTCTTCGGAGGCATTGTGGCATACGCGCACGAAACAAGACACGCTCCAACTGCCAGCCGCACTTTTTCAGTGTCACTTACACCAAAACCTGCTCATCAGAACTTTTACTGTACTTATCGGAAGCTACCGACTTCTTAGCACTCAGTGGATTATTCGATGACAATAATGATTTACAGGGCTGGTCCTCAGGTGGTGCTACTGCTGGTGATTTTTTCCCTTTCCCTCTCCGGTCTTGTACTTCTTTACTTGAACTGTCCTCCGCTCAATGCGTACGGTTTGATTTTATATTTTTAAGGCACTTGCTTTTGTGATAGCTACTATTCGTTGTTGTAGCAGTGAAAAGCAGTACCTACGGCTACCGCGGTGTTTGCATGAGGCGAAGTTGCTCGGTCACGTGTTAGTAAAGTACCGAACTGACCATTTCTACGTTGTTTACGGCGGCATGTTCCTTACCTACATATTGTAAGAAAACGTTTCGCACTTGGTTCTCGTGTGCCTCTCATTGTTGATTCATTTTAGCCTGCAGTCATTCGCCATTCCCGGTTCCATATTTCTGAGCGTTCTGTCCGGTTATTTATTTTCATTTCTGAGCGCTCTCCTGCTTATTTGTACGGTAAGACAAGGCGATGACGACTTGGCCATTTTCTTTACTTCATGCGTCATGCTCATTTAGTGTTCTGCTGTTGGCGCTTCCATCTGCTATCTTCTTTCCATGATTGTAGGTAAATCCTTCTTACTCCAGCTATTTCCGGAGCGGCTTAATCAGCTTAATGATCAGGTATGTTCGTAACGTTACTCCTATGACTGACTGACTGACTGACTGACTGACTGACTGACTGACTGACTGACTGACTGACTGACTGACTGA